AGAGGTGAGAACTACCACTAGCCAACCATGAAGACTCTCTTTTGGGATTTTAAGATTGGGTTTTTATATAGTTTGGTATGATTTAGTTATTTCCCCAGAAGGACAGTATGCTTTAATCAGATAATTTTATTCCCTCATGTAAGACCCTGAAGCCAAGCTAAAGGTCTGTTCCAATATCTTCGATAAGAATGCAGTATTTCCTAATAGGTGGACTGGGGCAGTATGTAGCAAGGGGCTTAAAAACCACCCATATCCTTTTATACAGTAATCCTACTTCTGGAAATCTGTCCTAAAGAAAAAAAATAAATTTTGGTCAAAGATTTTTATTCAAGGAAGTTCATTTCAGTGTTATTTATAATAGGGAAAAGTTGGGAGCATCATATATGTTCAATAGGAAGGAATGATTAAATTGTGGTATATTCACATGTGGGAATTTTGGACAGCCATTACAAAATCCAATTTTCAAAGATTATTTAATGACTTTGGAAATGTTCTCACTATAATGTTAAGTAATGAAAGCAGGACACTAGTGGGAATACAAAATGTACAACCTCTATGGAGGGAAATTTGGCAATCTCTACTATAATTTCATGCACATTAACCCTTTGACCCAGCAGTTCTATTTCCAGGAACCTGTCCCAAAGATACACTGGCAAATACACAAAGTGATATATGCGCACTATTATTCATTGCAGCATTATACATAATAGCAAGAGTAGGAATAACCCAAATGCCCATCATCAGGTGATTGGGATAGATTATCATGTGCACAAAATGGAACATACACAGCTGTAAAGGGAGAGAGGAAGAACTTTCTGCTCAGAACATTTTGTCTAAAAAAATTAAAGATACAGAACAATTTATATAATATGCCACCTTATCTGTTAGTTAACCAAATTCAATTATTTTATGAAGTTAAAAAAAAAAACACCTTGAGAGTTCATCAGTGGGGCATGTGACAGTTTGTCTCTATATAGTGTCTGTCACTTACTTCTGTTCAATGAGTCTCAGCTAGGGATGATTTTATCTACCAGGGAACATTTGGCAATATCAGAAAGCAAATTTTGGTTGTTACAATGGGGGGTCGTGCTACTGGTATCTTGCGAGGAAAGGCGAGAATGCTACTCAGCCTCATACAATGTGCAGGACAGCCCCCACAGCAAAGCATTATCTGGCCCAAAATGTCAGTAGTGCTGAGGTTAAGAAATCCTGAATTAGCACTTCCATCTTAGGCTAGGTATGTACCATCTTCTTCACCAAAATGTTGCTGTCATTAGAGTATTGGTACTATTAATGAGAAACTCTGTTACATACACAAATACGAAATATATCTACATATGAGGATTAAGTGAATATTAATATGAATGTTAAGAACTAAGATTTTCACAATTAGAGAAAGATACAAATAAAAAATCAAATAATTTAGCTCTTACAATCTTAAATTCAAATGGGAAATACTTGTATAAAGTCATTATTTGCTTCTTTTGAAAACTATGCATTTCCCTATTTCTGCCCAATCAAAAGGCCAAGAAGCAATGATAACCCAGTTAGCAAGGAGCACCCCTTATCATGAGATTGCCATCTCTAAATATTATTTTTCCCATTAAAGGATACAAGGAGTGCAATCCAGACAATTTAGATGTATCCAGGACAGTCTCCCTGGCAATCAAGTCAGTGGCGAGTGGGAAAAAAAAGGGAAGGTGGTCTGTTCAGACTAAAGGACACTTAAGAGAAAAACCAATTACAAAATGCAAACCTTGTTTGGATTCTGGTTCAGCAAATCAATTTTAAAAGGACATTTTGGAACAATATGGGAAATCTGGATATAAACTGGTATTAGATGATATGGAGAGATTACTGTTAATTTTGTTGGGGAGTGGTAATGACATAGTACAGTCATGTAAGAAAATGTCCTTTTAAAAAAAAAGATGTGTACTGAAGTACATTTGTGAGAAGTAACATGACGATGGGCACATGACAATCTGGGATATACTTTAAGGTACTGCAACAAAACGAGGGAGGGGCAGGCACAGATTAAATCAATTGGGCAAGATGTTAGTTACCGAAACTGGGAAATGGTGGGTATTTTTCCACTTCTATATTGTCTGTTTGGAGTTTTTGAGGATAAGAAGTGGTGTTTTGTTTTGTTTTGTTTTTTGTTTTGAGCCCAGCATTGCTCAAGGATGGGTCAGAAAGAACACATTGGTTCCAAGGTACATTGTAATGATGCAGGCAAAGCTCAAAAGCATGTGCATATTTGCCATTTACCTTCATGAAGGGCAATTCTTTTGGAAAAGCCTTCTAAGCTTCTTTAACATTTGATTGGTTGCCTTTTTTTCTTCCTTGATCATTTTATTGGGGGTTTACCCAAAAAAACCCGATTTCCCACCTCAGGGAAATTGCAGCAGCACAGTAACTTCCTCAACAAAGTCCTAGGTAGTCATTGGGGATAGAAGAGAACCTTCTGTGTAGGTCTCCTTGGGGAGCATGGACATTCCCAGAGCCATGCACCCTCTCCAGTTGATGACTCCCATAGTCCCCCTTGGACAGGAGTTAAAGTGCTAATGATTGACCCTATTTCAAACGGATGAAGCAATGGAGATTCTCTGAGGGATTTTACAATCACATTGTAAATGACAGTTCTCTGCTTGGACTCCGCTCTAATACTTGTATGTAAATACCTCTACTGTGAACATAAAAAATGTGGATCACCTTACACATTAGTGAAATTGGGTAAATTCAAGGGAAGGTGGAACTACGTTGAAATTAGGAATTGATTTAAAATAATAGATTACATGTGAACATCATCTCCTCTCTTTTTTTTTTTTTTTTCATCTTTTTTCAGTGACTTCTTTGGGAGCAAGAGAAACAACAGAAGAGCTTTTGTTTTCATCTTTGAATGTGGAAACAGAAATGGTAGGGGTGAGGGTGAGGAAATAGTGTCAGAAGTCTCAGCTCTGTTGCAGATTTGCTGTTGACTTTGGGTAGATTTACTTTCCTTAACCTTGGTCCCTGTCTGTGAATGGGAAGAACAGCATTTCCTTATCTGTCTCCTGTCTTACCTGCAGCTCAAAAGAAATAATGTATGTGAAGATATTCTTGGAACTATAAAGGGATTATAATTGTTTTTTAAATATACTCTCCAAGTAAATACTGTTTTTCCCTCATCAACATCTCTTATTTCCCAATTCCACTTCTAGAATTGTTCATAAACCACTCTGGGATGTGGTTTGAATAAAAGACTCTGAGAGTAGATTATATTTTCAATTAGAAAGTATTTAGCTTCCTATTTACTATGCAACATTAAAGATTTTACTCCTAATTTTTTAAAACAAGTTTGATTTTAATACCGTTATAAGTATAAACATATTATTTCTGGAATATTCCTTGAATCCTGCCTGAAGATTTAGCATTTTATAGTTCTCTGCAAAGCCCTGCTTAAATATAGTAAATAATTTGACTTGAAAGTTAAAATGTCCATTTTTTTTAAAGATTTTATTTATTTATTCATGAGAGAAACAGAGAAAGAGAGAGAGGCAGAGACACAGGCAGAGGGAGAAGCAGGAAGCCCGACACGGGACTCGATCCCGGGTCTCCAGGATCAGGCCCTGGGCTGAAGGCGGCGCTAAACCACTGAGCTACCCAGGCTGCCCTGTCCTTTTTTTTTTTTTTTTCTTAAGATTTTTATTTATTTGGAAAAAAAAAAGGGGGATCCCTGGGTGGCGCAGCGGTTTAGCGCCTGCCTTTGGCCCAGAGTGCAATCCTGGATACCCGGGATCGAATCCCACGTTGGGCTCTGGGTGCATGGAGCCTGCTTCTTCCTCTGCCTGTGTCTCTGCCTCTCTCTCTCTCTCTCTCTCTCTCTGTGACTATCATAAAAAAAAAAAAGATTTTTATTTATTTGGGTGGCCTGGGTGGCTCAGTGGCTTGGTGCCCCCTTCAGCCCAGGGTGTGATCCTGGAGACTAGGGATCAAGTCCCACGTCGGGCTCCCTGCATGGAGCCTGCTTCTCCCTCTGCCTGTGCTGTCTCTGCCTGTGTCTCTGCCTTTCTCTCTCTGTATCTCTCATGAATATGTAAATAAAATCTTAAAAAAAGGATTTTTATTTATTTGAGTGGGGGGAGAGCACAAACAGGGGGAGAGGCAGAGGGAGAAGGAGAAACAGGCTCCTCACTAAGCATGGAGCCCAACATGAGACTTGACATTGAGCTCGATCCCAGGACTCTGAGACTGTGGCCTGAGCTGAAGTCAGACACTTAACTGACTCAGCCACCCAGGCACCCCAAAATGTCCATTTTAAATATTGTTAGTGGGCAGCCCCTGTGGTGCAGCGGTTTGGAGCTGCCTGCAGCCTGGGGTGTGATCCTGGAGACCAGGGATCAAGTCCCACGTCGGGCTCCCTGCATGGAGCCTGCTTCTCCCTCTGCCTGTGTCTCTGCCTCTCTCTCTCTCTCTCTCTCTCTCTCTCTGTGAATAAATAAATAAAATCTTTAAAAAATAATAAAATAAAAAATAAATAAATAAATATTGTTAGTGGTAGGCAGTTATGTTATGTTGTTATGTTATGTATGTTATGTTCCTCCTACTGAGGCAGATTCTGTCCTCTACAGATCACAAGGACTGAGGACTTGACCAGGAAAGACTTCAGGTTACTCTTCCAGGGGTGGAACCAAACAACGAGCCTTTGCCCAAAATGGTCAATATAATGTCTTCATCCATACTCAGTGGCTCATGAAATGTATTCAAGAGGCACCTGAGTGGCTCAGTGAGTTAAACATTGGACTCTATTTTGGCTCAGGTCATGATAATCAGGGTCATGAGATCAAGCCCCACATCGGGCTTCACACTAAGTGGAAAGTCTGCTTGAGATTCTCTCTTTCCATTTCTCTTCCTCTGCCCCTCTCCTGCTCACTCTTTCTTTATCTCTCTCTCTCTCTCTCTCAAATAAATACATCTTTTTAAAAAGTGTATTCAAAAAAATGTATTCTAAAATCTCTTACCATGGCAGGTTAGAGGCTGCTAAGACAAACACGAGATCCTCTGAGCGAGCCAGCCCATCCATTTGCACTAGTAACTCTGTCTTCATCCGAAGGCTTCCTTCATGCTCTCCCCTACAGAGACACAGAGGTGAGACTCTCCCAAGACACAGAGCCTTTGCTTCCAGGACAGGAGTGGCACTCACAGCAATGAATCAGTGCCCGTAGAACAGGTTCTCTGCCTCATTCTTAGGAGCCACTCATACTAGAGTTGGAGGAAGCAAGCACTTTGGTACCGTTTTCACGTAGAGGGTGGTAGAAAGGAAATAAATGAATATAGTGGCAATAATGAAAAGAAAACCAACGGTTGGTAGTGAAAGAGAAAACAGCTGAAGGGTAGAAAGATCCCTGATGGATTTAATGCAGCCTTGCTGTGTCTACCTGCAGTACTACTTGCCCTTGGTAAGAATGCTATAATTGAGAAGAATCCTTTCATTTCTATAGCAGACATGAATGTACTTTTATACACAGCATTTCTTTTAGTATAACTTGTGGATATAATCTACTGAAGAAGAGAGATGAGCTACTACAATGAATCTGTTGCATTCTTGTCTAATAAGAGGCAAGATAATGACGTGGAAAGTATGCTTTCCTAGCACAGCAGATGAGGGCTGTCTTCTGTGCAAATTCACCCTCTGAGCCCTACCTCCACCATGGCCAAAGACCCTTCCACCAAGAAAGAGCTCACTACAGGACCAAACAATCTAAGTTGGCTCTAAATACTGACCATGTTCTGCAGGCTTTCCTTCCTCCTCACTTACATAGATTGATGATAAAAAAATGCCTTTCTTAAAAAAAAAAAAAGATTTTACTTATTCATCCATGAGAGACATACAGAGAGGCAGAGACATAGGCAGAGGGAGAAGCAGGCTCCATGCAGGGAGCCCGATGTGGGATTCGATCTTGGGATCCTAGGATCACGACCTAAGCCAAAGGCAGATGCTCAACCACTGAGCCACCCAGATGCCCCCCAAAATGCCCTTCTTGGACAATACAACATTCAGCCTCTCATCTCTGCGTGTGAATGGTGGCAGCATAGATTAGGCATGTGTTTTTTAAAAACTGTGCTGCTCACTATCATACAACCTTTTTCTAAGAGAAAGGACAGTCTCACGGGGTAGTTTTATATTTATTTAGCATTCACTCATGATTATTCTTTTAACATCATATGACCCAAGAAGTCTTCAGAGCACCTGCCCTTATTCCCTGATCCTTTGAAGACTCTAGTTTTCAAGTTCAAGTTCCAGACAAGGAAGCTGACATTCAGCTCAAAACCTGGAGCACTCTCAAAGATAGCTGATGAAGTCTCCTAATGCACACTTTCAAAGCTGTGGGGAACCCTAGAAATGGAGATCAACAAAGCAAACGGAAGAACAAGTGCACAGATAACAATAGTAAGGCAGGCCAGGTGGGCTGGGTCTTCGCAGAGGGAATAACCACTGGGGTGGTCTGTCTTGTGGGTGCCCAGCTGGGTGCCTATGCACTTGTCTGTAGAAAGAGACAGGGTGTCCCAGCCTAGCTGCCTAGCACCCATTAAGCCATGGCAATTGTCCCATTTAAATCAATGCCATCAATGCCATGCCTCTTAAATCAGTGCATCTTAATGGTTCCTCTTCCGTTAGGAAAATGATCTTCAATAAGTAAAATTTCATAAATTATATTGTAGTTATATGTCCAAGAAGCTAAATATTTGCCTTTTATTACTATTAGCTCTGCCTTGATGATGGACCATTAGAGGCCATTAAAAAATGCAGCTGCGTTGAGATTTCCCAGAGACCTATTTTTCCAAGCCAGGTTTAGTAAAAAGTTTCAAAGAAGAATACTTCTGATGAAGACAAAAAGACTTTAACACACATACACACACACACGCATATGTACACACACACAGCAGGCTCATTGCAGTCTGAGATGTGTTCTTTCCTACAGGGGACATTAGTGGACATTTAATCTTTAGAGATAACATATGTGACAGATGTAAAATCAGACAAACTGAGCCACAACTATGGCTGATGTCACAGAGAAGTGGTGGCTTCCCTGGCCTCACACACCTTGTCAAGGGCTTCCTCTTGGGACTTGGCCTTTGTAGCCCCGTTCCCCACAGGCAGCCCCTCTGGCTCCAGAGGAGGTGGTCACAGGCAGCTATTTTGAGCCAGCAAGACCGTTATGGCAGCCTGGGATTGTGGGGCTGGGTGATCTTCAGGCCTGAAAACCACTCTGTGGGGAAAGGGGGAGGGAGGATGACATTTCCTCCGGTTATAAAAACTACTTAAATCAGCTATTCAGTTAACAGGATCTAATTTAAAGACCTTTCCATGTGTCTGCAGAAAATTTGTGGGCTTATTAATAGGCTCATTCTGCTGGTAAATGTCGATGAGCTTCCGACCATCAAACACACTTACAAGAGGGGAGAAGTGATGACCAAAAAAAAAAAACAAAACAAAACAAACAAAACAAAACAAAATAAAAAAAACCCTGTTACCCAGGAGCCGTGCCTCTCTGACTCATCACTGACTCCAGCTCGTCCAGGAAGATGGTGGAGGGGGCGTGATAGCGGGCAAGTTCAAATAACACCTGGTTGGGAGAAAAGCAACCACATGTTCAAACTCATATACTTAAGTTAAAGTTCACATATGCTCCCAGAGATTAAAAGCTTAAGATGGCTGTAATATTAAGCATATATAAATAAATATTAAGCACTCTGTTCTTTCATAATAACTTTATGATCTTTGCAATTATTTCTCCTTAGCACAACTCCATGGATGGTGCAATTATTTCCATTTATCACTTGATAAAATTAGAGCCAGAGAGAGTTAGTGGTTAGCTAAGGATTACTAATCATAAGTGGGAGAGCTTAAGATAAAACTCAGTTCTGAGCTTCTAGTCAGTTAGGTAGCCCCTGAGACTCCCTGCCAATCACATGTTCCACATGGACACAAAAGCCTTGGAATGCGTAAAGTCATTTGATGACTTTCCTTTAACCTTTAGGGACAATGAGGGTTATTCTCAGAAGGAAGAACTGTAGGAAGAGGATACAGTTCGGGTCATGGGTAACAAGGCTGAAAAATTTTGCTCCTTTTTGCTCTCCAAATTACTCCATGGGGTCCCCATATAACTCCAAACACTGTTGTTTGGTAGGCTCAGGTACTTGAAAGCAATTCCCAATTGAATAAAATGTTCCATTCCAAAATAAAATATTATAGACTGTACAAGAACAGGAAAGCAGCCAGCAAAAGAACAGACATATAAAAACAAAATAAAGAGCTCTAAAGGGAGATGTGGTGGTGATGAAAAGAGTATAAAAAAATAAACCTTTTTTTTTTTTAACCTTGAAACTGATCTCTTGAGCACCATATACAATTCTTCACTGGTTGATCGGAGAAAGCAGTAGAGATTTAGAAAAGAATAGAGGTTCTTTAATAGGCATAGGGGATTTATTCTCCATGTCACTTAGCACTAGCAAAGCATCACAGAATAAATAGGAGAAGAGCCCAGAAAAGGCCAGATTGTGGTTTTCATGAGTAGTGGCAGGTTATACCTTACAGGTCTCCCTGTCACTGAGTGGAAATTCCTCACCTTTACCACTGCTTGCACGTATGGTGCATCCATGCTCATCCTCAAGTATTTTTCTTTCACAGAATCCTATTTAATTCGGCCAAGACAATTGGCTCAGCCTAATGAACTGAGAGAACAGAGTCAATGCTGGGACATACATCACAAATGCCTTTTAAACACAATAGAGACCCTCTCATTAGAAGCCAGTAACTTGTTTTTCTTATCACAAAAAAAAAGAAGCCCAAATATAACTGATATTAAGGATGACTACAACAGCATCAATCTACCCAATGAAAAGTAGAATATCAGAACTCTTTAAAAGAAGCATACATGTTTTTTAGGTGCTCCCTAATGTGCAGAAAGACCAAGAGGTTCTACAAGACCAAAAATCTAATTGGAAGGAGAACCACATATGGAGCCTATGTCTCCATATTGACCATACCACTGCTCTTTCCAGTGCCAGAGAATATATAGAATTCCAGATAAGTGCTCGGAAGCATTAGTCTAAAATTTTGAAAAGTAAAAAAAAAAATAAAATAAAAAAATAAAAAAATAAAATTTTGAAAAGTACTTGGAGGAAGTTAAATCATATGATTAGGGGGCAGAGGGACAGTGTTGAAAGACGTAAGCACCAACAGGTGTGTGCATTTGCTAAAGAGACCACTCAACTATTCAATAGCATCAATTCCTAGGAGGCATGAACATTAGGAGGGGAGGGAGGAACATAACCCAAGGGTTCCCTATAAATAACTTTTTAATTGGAATAGAAAGAGAATCAAATGGTAGGAAAGAGTCTCTGATTTAGGGGAAGGTCCTGAAGGGCTCTCTTTATCTGAAAGCTTGATAGTAAAGATCTTGACAGCATGACCAAGATTTTCCAGGTGAGGATCTTTCAAAGAGCTCAGAAAATAATATCTGAAAGGATAGAAGATGAGATCCTTCAAGGTTAGCAGAGGTTATCTGTTTTCCTCTTGAATTATTTTTTTAAATATTCAACCAAAAATGCATTTCACAGAAAAAAAGAGAATACAAATACAAACCTATAAAAAGATGCTCAAGTTCATTCAGAATTAAATAAATGTATATTTGAGAACTGAAAAATTAATTTCATTATCAGATCGACAACAATTTTTAAATTTGTGTTAGCCAGGGAAGGCGAAGCAAACATGCACATCACTGATGGATGTGTAAACTGGTGCAATGCTGTTGTCAGGCAGTTTGGCAATCAGTGATTTTTTATTCTCTGACCTAGCAACTCTACTTCAGAGAAATTGTCCTACACTACTATGTATGCAAGGACATATATATAGTAAGATGGTTTACTGTAGCTGTGTTCGTGATAACAAGAGACTAGAAACAACCTAAATGTCCATTAAGAAGAGACTAGTCAGGGCAGCCTGGGTGGCTCAGCAGTTTAGCCGCTGCCTTTAGCCCGGGGCGTGATCCTGGAGACCCAAGATCGAGTCCCATGTCGGGCTCCCTGCATGGAGCCTGCTTCTCCCTCTGCCTGTGTATCTACCTCTCTCTCTCTGTGTCTCTCATGAATGAATGAATGAATGAATGAATGAATGAATGAATGAATAAAATCTTTAAAAAAAAGAAAAGAAAAAGACTAGTTAAATACGTTTTAGTACATGCAGGCAATGAAATACTGTGCAGACTTATAAAAGAACATGTTCTGTCTATAATAGTGTGGAACAATAGCCAAGTTATATTGTTGAGTGTGGAAAAAAACCAAAAGGCATATAGAGGGTATGTGTAGTATGTTCCTACTTGTATTTAATAAGGAAGGGAGATATAGATGAAGTTGTTGGTATTAATATAGATATAGATACATGTTCTGGAAGACTGCACTAGCAAACTACAGTAGTTGCCTGTGAGGAGAGGGCTCAGGGGTCTATATGCCCTTTTGTACCCCCTTTTTTTTCCAAAAATACTATTTTTTAAAAAGATTTATTTATTTTAGAGAGAGGGGGGGGGAGGGGCAGAAAATCCTTAAGCAAATTCCCTGCTGAGCATGGAGCCTAACACAGGGCTGGATCCCAGGACTCTGAGATCATGACCTGAGCCAAAATAAAGAATCAGCCGCTTAACTGACAGAGCCACTGGGCACCCCAATACTAATTATTTTTTAAATATATGGTAAAGGAAGGGGAGAGACTGGGGGAGGAATCTTTTCCTCATCCTTAGAATTCTAACAAAATTATACTGAAGCAAAGGAAAATTTAAGTGACTAAAATGCTCGTGCAGAATGGAGAGTCCTTGTTAAATGACTTTGCTGGCTATCTAACATTAAACGAAACAATTCTTGTAGTGGTTTCTATTTTCATTAAGAATATTCATAAAATGGAAAAAAAAGAATATTCATAAAATGGGCGCCTGGGTAGCTCAGTCAGTTGAGCATCTATCTTCAGCTCAGGCTATGATCCTGAGGTCCTGGGATTGAGACCCGAGTCAGACTCTCCGCTCAGTGGGAAGTCTGCTTCTCCTCAGCCTCTTCCCATGCTCATGCTTGCGCTCTTGCTCTCACTCTCCCTTTCTCTGAAACAAATATTCATAAAATATTTGAATTTCTTCTTGTGTTTAGAGAAGTCCTGTCCAGGGAACATAATGTAATTTTTCTTTGAGCATTTTGCAGTGTTTTGTGCTTAAAGTTGTAAAAACCACTTTTCATGACAGGAGATGAATCTAAACTGATTCAGGGGGCATCTTGTAAAAGTTTTATTGTTCCTCAGCACGTAGAAATGGAATGTTAAAAAAAATAAGTCTTCAGGCTGATGAAGATTTTATATAGTTAGTTGGATTTTAGCTAATTGAAATCAAGTCAACTAGAATCACACAGAACCCACAAATTTAGGAACAGGTAAGTTCACACCCCACCTTTGGACCTGGCACTAAGACTCAAAGAACAAAGAAACAGATGTCAACATGGATTTCCACAAATTACAGTCTTGAAGGGGTGATAAAATTCATAAAAATTTACACATTTGAAGTAACTAGAGAAAAGTATCAAAGAAATAAAGAATGGATCATTTTAGGTAAATCAATCCTATAAGAATATTCTACTATGACTTTCAAGTAAGTCATAATATTTTAGAAATGAGTCATCCGGGGATCCCTGGGTGGCGCATCCCGGGACGCGATCCTGGAGACCCGGGATCGAATCCCACATCGGGCTCCCCGTGCATGGAGCCTGCTTCTCCCTCTGCCTGTGTCTCTGCCTCCTCTCTCTCTCTCTCTCTCTCTGTGACTATCATAAGTAAATAAAAAAAAAAAGAAATGAGTCATCCAAGGGAATGTAACTTAAGCATAATATTTTAGAGTAAATTCATTTCAGAAAATATATTGTATTTACATTGACTTAGTATTGATTACTTAACCAGTTGTTCTACGGAATTCAACAGTTTAACAGGATTTCTGAGAAGGGCCCACCTTACACTGAGGCATAAATCATAACAGGAGTTCTCATAAAGTGACTGGAAAGTATAGTAAAATTTTATAATATAATTTTGTATTATATTTTACATAAAATATATTTTATATTTCTCTCCTAAGGGGAGGAAGAAAACTGTAAGGCTATGGGGCACTGTGGGGGAAAGTTGCTCAGAGCATCTGAAAAAAATAATTGTTTTCAATTTCTTGATTCTTTGTGAGAGTATATATTGTAGGGACTAGCATATAGTAGTAGCCTCTCAATAAATGTTAACCGAATGTACTGCACATGTTTAATAATAGATGGTTCTTGAATGAAGAAAAAAAATATTCCACTTCATAAACAACCTTGTCCCAGCTTCCACTGCTAAGCCACGTGAATCAAAAAAGGACTATTGGTTATGTTCCCAGAAGAAAGGAGATGGTGTTTTGCTGATGGGGACAGGATTAGTATCCACACATAATAGTCAGTCCATCTCCTGGGCTTTTGGTAATCAAGATCCAGGATAAATTCTAACATATAAATCATTTTAAAACAAATAAGCTCTAACTTCATTTTGTACCACTATGTCCTGCTGGAACTTATTCTAAAAAAAACAAAATCAAGAATTCCTACCCGAACAAGTTTTTCTGAATCCCCTCTCCATTTGCTGACAATGGTAGATGCAGAAATGTTAAAGAAGGTTGTTTTGCACTCCGTGGCCACAGCTTTGGCCAGCAAAGTCTTTCCTGTCCCTAGAGACACATGGGGAGCAAACGTGAGTGACACATGAACTCCATGTCTCTGCACACAGACACAAGTCAGTTTCACAAGTTAAAAAGGAGGTAGTTACCCAGTGGTCATTAGCCCCAGTCCTGAATGAGGATAGTACAACTCTGCATACACACTTAATACCAAGACCAAAACAGAGGGGCACCTGGGTGGCTCAGTCAGTTGGGCGTCTGCCTTTGGCTTGGGTCATGATCTCAGGGTCCTGGGATCAGAACCCCATGTTGAGCCCCCTGCTCAGTGGGGAGCCTGCTACTCCCTCTCCCTCTGCCCCTCCCTTCTGCTCATACACATTCTCTCTCTCTCTCTCTCTCTCTCTCTCTCTCTCTCTGACTTTTTCTCCCAAGTGGATAAATAAAATCTTAAAAAAAAAAAAAAGACTAAAACATAAAGATTCCTTTACCTGGAGGGCCATAGAGCAGTAGTCCTTTCCAGGGGGAAAGAATTCCTGTAAACAGCTGTGGGTACTATGGAAACAAGGAACAAAGATGAGGTTTGGTATCAGGATGTCAGCCGTTTGCACAGACGAATGAAATTGGACTGATACACAGCTCAACTCAAAGAGTCAAGCCTTTTCTTACGGCTGCCCACTTCTACATCTTATTTATCCCAGTTTTCCTTTTGCACTCAATAGCAATGCCTGGTTTAATTTTTGTGGCTTTTTAAAAAGAGCGATTTTTAAAAAAGATTTTACTTATTTATTCATGAGAAACACAAAGAGGCAGAGATTTATGTAGGCAGAGGGAAAAGCAGGCTCCGTACAGGGAGCCTGATGCGAGACAATCCCAGGGCCCAGGGATCACAATCTGAGCCAAAGGCAGATGCCACCCAGGTGCCCCAAAAAGAGCAATTTTTTTAAAGAAAATAAAGGCATATGTAGGTACTTTTCCTGCAAACATAACATCATTTCCCCCAGAGTTCTATATACAGGGTATTTGGCAATCTTTTAACTTTGGGAACCAGGAATGCCCTCTAAGATAAAGACTTAACCCAACAAACAAAGGTGCCTGCGAATAAAGCACAAAGCTGTGGCAAAGCTTGATTAAGAAGTTGGGAACATTCGGTGCTGAATGTATTATGAGACACTGACTCCAAACAGGACATGCATGGACTTCAGTGGTTCTCTCCCATTAGGTCAAATTCAGGCAGCCTTGGAGGGCAGAAAGAGATGATAGAGAACAAGAGAGAAGGAAAAACAATAGTAAAATTATAACTAGCTATTAGGTTTTTGCTGATGCTAATACCAAATTCTCGATGCCATCACATACAAAGCTTCTCACCCCACGGAGATAACCTATCCAGGGTTTCAATGAGGTGCTCTGTCCTTTCCCAGAAGACTTTTACTGTAGAGTCACTGAGAGGAAAGGGTGAATGAATTTCTACTAATTCTGAATACCAGTATATTTCTTTCTCCTGTGTCTGAACACAGGAAGAAAGAGGTGGGGAAAGACGATCCAAAATCATTGATTTTGGTCTCATTTGAATAGAAGCGGCCAAAAATCATGGGCTTCGTGGGCTGCCTGATAAGAGTAAAGAGATTTTTTAATATAATAAACGTGTTATCTTGACTGCGGGAGGTTCCAGAAAATGGCCACAAATTATCTGCAGCTCCTTCCACTGAGAGACAGAGTGTATTTCTCCACAACTTGAGCCTGGAGTTGGCCTTGTGACTTTGGCCAATGAGATATCAGCAAATATAAGAAGGGATTTGAAAATATAAGGACTCGGGCAGCCCGGGTGGCTCAGCGGTTTAGCGCCTGCCTTCAGCCCAGGGCGTGATCCTGGAGTCCTGGGATTGAGTCTCACGTCGGGCTCCCTGCATGGAGCCTGCATCTCCCTCTGCCTGTGTCTCTGCCTCTCTCTCTCTCTCTCTCTGTGTCTCTCATGAATAAATAGAATCTTAAAAAAAGAAAGAAAGAAAGAAAGAAAGAAAGAAAGAAAGAAAGAAAGAAAGAAAGAAAATGTAAGGACTCTAAGAAGAGACGTGGGAAATGCTGTTGGATTGTGACCAGCCCTTTCTTGCTTCTGTCCAGGAAGCCTGTGCAACCAACAGGAAGAAGACAGGCCTGCCTGCTGGAGGATGAGAGGCACATGGAGAAAAGTCTCAGTCATCCCATCTATTCCAGCTTTCCTGGTCACGCTGGCTGATGCCCCAGACATGTGAGTGAGCCCAGTACCACATAGAAAAGAGATGAGCTGGCCCCACTGAGCCCAGCCCAGATTGTCTACAGCTACAACTGTACACAGTCATTTATTTGTGCAGAGTAAGGCATGAAGTTTTGGGGTGGTGTGTCATACAACCAAAGCTATGTGGTACCCAGACTTTCTCATCACACAGTTGTAAACCCAACATAGAAATTCTTATTATTATTCTTATTCTATTCTCCTTCCTGTTTAGTGAACCACTCTGAACAAAGACTTATCGGGAAAAAGCAATGAGCATTACACGATGGCCAGGGCTGTCTATTCTTTACAAAAAATGAAAAGCAAAACCCCAGAAGATGGAGAGGGAGGGGCATAAGATCTATAGGAACAAAGTAAGAGGCCCTCTCCTACAGGAGGTATTTCTACTGTAATAAGTATATTTTTAGGGAGGCAGGCTATTCAAAACAATCTATAGTAACTAACAAATCATATATATTACAACCTTAGATCTTAAATAATCACTTGAACAGACCCCTGCCTTGAACCAATATGTGACACGATTTCAAATTGCCTACAATGGACCGGGCCTTGGTACTCCAGTGTTTAACCAAATATTGTGACGCAGGCAAAAAGTTAACTCGATGACAGAAGAACATCCTGTCCTTCTCTTCCTGACAGGTGCATGACATACAGTCGGTCCAGTGGATAATGAATAGAAACAAGCCCCAAGAGGCTTCCCATCCTTACCCTTATAGGGTACACAACAGCTTCTTTGACTAACTGCTTGGCTGTGTCGAGTCCGATAATGTCATCCCACTTGATGTTTGGATTATGGAGATAAATGTCCTGCAATGCACATGTGATCATTTTGTTAAAACTAATGTTTTCCTCTGCAGCTGTAATAAACACAGGAACAGCAGGATACTTGGTTTACAATAGGATGTAAAGTGCTGGTGATAAAAAAACTTTTCACATTAGATATATGTACATATACACGTTGTAATTATGGGCTAGTTCACCAAATGGATGCCATGAATGTGTTCAGTGATTTTCCCCAAAGAAGAGATTGATGATATAATATGGAACTTTTAAGAGGAAACAAAATCTCCTAACGACAGACTATACCTGTCTTCAGTCAATAGCAAACCATGCTGAATTATGACTGTAATCAAAGAAGCTACAGAATATGCCTTCAAATTACATGGGCTTTTATGGCAAAACACAGTTCCTAGCCAGCGCCTGGCCTCGCTTTGCTCCTTGATCTCACAAATGCTTTCTTAATTTGTGGCCTAAAAGAGATAATGCTTCTCTGAAACCAATTTCTCTTTTTCCCTGGTGATCTTTCCCCACTTTCCATCAGGAACAATTGCTTCTACAAAATTCGAGGAAGCCAACAAGCAAGCAAAAGTGCAGTTTGCCCTTTTTCGGTGGAGCCCTGTAGCAACCATCTGGGGCAATCAATTAAGGTAGCTTTTAATGATAACTAATTTACAGTTTCCAAACTTCAATTCCACAAGACGCCTTGGAACAGCCACTCAGGGCCTTTCTCAGTAGGAGCTGTTCCAAGCATACTGAGTATTTAGAGTGTTACATCGCAAAAAGCTTCCTTTTAAAAGTCATTCAGAGTGACTACAGAACAATCTGGAAACTATGTGTATATTTATTTCATTTTTTTAACATTCATTTATCTATTTGAGAGTGTGTGTGTGTGCATGTGGTTGGGGGGAGGGGCAGAGAGAGACTCTTCAAGAAGAGTCCACCACAAGCCTCCATCTCATGATCCTGAGATCATGACCTGAGCCAAAACCAAGGGTCACATGCTTAACCAATTAAGCCACACAGGCACCCCTGTATTTATCTAATTTTTAAATAAATAATACATACACATGGTTCAAAATATTAAAAAATATGTTTTTTCAATGTTAGTGAGATGTTACGTCCCCATCCCTGTCCCCTGCCCTCCCACATCCCTCCACCATGGCTGCCATTTCTATTAGAGAAAGTACTCATAACAAGTGATTTGGTTCCTACGTTAACAGGCATGATCCATTGATAGGATGACAGAGAAAGGCCTCCATCTTCCAGAATCTTGGGAGAATCCCCCCTACCTTTAGATTGTGGATCTGCAGGCTAGCCCACCACCCACTCACATTCTTATTACCACACTTTCTTAGGAAAAGCTTCACATAGAGTGGGGATTCATGGACCTTGGAATTCAAAGCATCCATAGATCAGAGCCATATTTCTTGCCCCCTACTAGAGCTGACATTGAGTTCCACAAGCCAGTATTTAATTGCCCAACAGGAAGTTCCTCCTTATAGCAACAAAAGCTATCAGTCGGGAGGTGGTGATCTCCCCATCACTGTAAGCATTCTAGCAGAGACTGGATGACTGCTTCCCTTGGTACTATAGGAAAGATGCCCAGTGGAATCATTTCAGGCTACTTCTCCTCTACAACTCTGTCACCACCGCAAAATAAATTTATTTATTCATGAGAGACACAGAGAGAGCGAGAGAGACAGAGACAGAGACAGAGACAGAGAGGCAGAGACACAGGCAGAGGGAATAGCAGGCTCCATGCAGGAAGCCTGATGTGGGACTCGATCCCAGGTCTCCAGGATCACACCCCAGGCTGAACGCGGTGCTAAACCGCTGAGCCACCTGGGCTGCCTGGGACTATAGATTTTTATGGGCATAAATAATTTTTTTCTCTGCTCTCCTTTGTGTTCTAATTACCATAACTGGACTCAGACCTCATCCTCCCTCACTGGTGATAACTTGAGAGTTGGTCTCTTCATCACCATTTCTTTGATATTCATCTGCCACGCTGTCATCAGGACAAACTGAAAGCACATTTGAGTATCCCACTCTCCGATGGACACCTTTCAAAGATTTCCCCATGTCCTATAGGCCACTTCCAGCCCCAGGCTAGCCCTCACTATGCTCATTACTCAGGAACTCTGGCCTCTCTCTGTAGCCCCATTCCCCACCACTCCTTGTGGCTCATTCAGCTCCAAGCTGTACAATTTCACAGGTATGTTACTTGACCCAGAACCCTCTACCTTCCCTCTTGTGCTTTTGCATGTGCCTATTTTTTATGTATCTTCTTCCCTAATGCTTTCCCTAACCTTTGGCACAAAACAACCCCTCCTTTATGTTCTCCCAGTACACCTTACCCATGGGTTGAGAGACTCTTATAAGGCAAGGACTGTGCCTGATATCATTCACATCTTTGTGTTTCCAGCCCCCAGCGTGTGCTTGATACCTAATAGGTGCAGTAACAGCTGCTGAACTGAACTGCCAGAGCTAGGGAACCCCTTAATTACTGCACAAGAGCTGTGCATTTTTTGGATCATATAAAACATCTCTCTGAGTCTGCCCAGGTTTCAGTCTTTCATTAAATATGAGGTTGCTGGATATCAGATAAGTACCCTATAACTCAGGAATCTATTCTGTTCCCAAGGAACATGCTCAAAGTCACACAGCTACACAGAGAAGGATATAGAAGTCAAATCCAGTTCACTTGATTCTAGAGCCAGTGTTGTTAACTGTGAAACTTCACTGCTTTTAAATTCTGGAGGGTAGGGAGGTGAGGTGAGTGAGGAGATGAGGTCACTGGGAAATGGGCATTAAAGAGGGCATGTGGTGGGATGAGCACTGGGTGTTACGTGCAACTGATGAATCACTGAACTCTACATATGAAACTAATGATGTACTATATGTTGGCTAATTGAATTTAAATTTAAAAAAATAAGAAAATAAAATAAATAAACAACAAATAAATTCTGAAGGGTAAGCTTAAAAATCAGTAGTCTGGTCAATAAGCTCTTTCCTGCAAATCTTGTTTTGCATGGAAATTTCCAATTATGAAATCATCAGACTCCCAACATCTCTGTTTCTAAACTTTGACTGTTTAACCAAGACACAGACATGCTCTTGCCTTCTCTAAGAGGCTTTCTTTCCTCAACTCTTGGCTCTGCTCTAAAACCTTTCACCTGTCCCTTCCCTTCTAAGTCTTTTTCCCTTTTGATTTTCTTGGCCTCTGTAGTGAGATGGTGGGCTTTTTGTATTGTAATTTTATGATTCTATAATTTATTTATCATGCATTATTGTGCCTCTAAACAATATGAGTGCCTTTGCAAGTTGGGGCACTTTATAAATAAATTATCATATTTATTGTTATTAATAAAAGAAGCAGCCCACAATGCTCCAGGAGCCCCAGTCCGCCTCTGTAAATTTGTGAATTGAATATCAGATCTTACCCGGCTCACCATGGCTGCCAATTCTCGCATCTCACTATTCATGCCAATAAATGCACTCAGAGGTTTCAACAATCGTTCCTGACAATGGGAACAGAAAGCTTTACGTTACAATATTGCTCATAATTTAGGAAGCAAAGCAGGGCACGGATCTCAGTGACATTAAGTGGTGGTAGTTTGCTGTGACCTTCGACTTGATCTCAAGGTTTCTCTGGACTCAAACTTATATTTCTGAACTTCGTCTAGATGTTGGTAGTTTGCAAGATGAATGTCACATCTTAGCCACTTACTGAGGGGTCTGGGTTACAGTCAAAGCTGTTCAAGCCAAGTTCATTGGTTGCTCCTTTGATGGCATCTGTGAGCAGCCCTCGGAAGTCAATGATTTGGCCCTGAAAGGGAGTAATCGTTATTTATGCCATTAAAACATGAGGGAAGACTCTCCCTAATAGCTCAGCTTCATAAATCAAGACACATTCATGTACCTTGGTATGTAGGGCAAACTGAAGTGAGGCTTTAAAAAGAACCTGCACTAATCATGAAGGAGATGATTTCCTCAAGTTGGGCCCTCCAGGAAAAAGGAAAAATTAAGTTGCAGATATACTCTTCAGAATGAAGTTGATTTGAATGAAAATTCACAAGCACTTTTCCGTTCCTGACACCACTCCATCTGTTTCCTTACAGGCCGAGCTCCCCCACATCGTCTGGTCCTTTGAAACATTCCACACACAGGAAGAACTCATTGGCGCAAGAGTAATGATAGCTCCCCCTTACTGACTCTCATATACATTCTCTGGAGTAGAGTCCCAGCCAACAAGGGGCTTAAGGCCAGGATTTAAACCCAGATCTCTGTGTCCTGTACTCCTCCCAGTGCTGCCCCGTCTCCCCTACAACCAGAAGGGAAAAGCAAGGATGCCTGCAAAAAATGAGTAACAACAGCGGTAGCCAGCACTTACTGAGTGCGTATTATATGCTGGGCACTATGCTGATGCTCTCCACTCCATCATCTCCAGCAATCACCCATATAGTTGAGGCCCTTACAAGGAGCCAGATCAGGCCCACGTGAGCTTCCCTGACTTCCAGGGAGATGATCACAGCTTCCCCTCCAAGTACACACAGCAGGAGTTTCGTTTGCCCAAGAAGAGCTGGCCAGAGGTAAATCGGAAGTCCTGTAACCTGAGAACTTACCCAAAGAGAGAGATGGCTCTTACAAGAAATACAAGCCTGAAAGTTACAATCAAGAAGAACCTGTTCATGTGGACACTGCTTCGAATTTTAACCTGCCCTTTGCCCACATCCATCCAATCCAAGCCTTTTCTATTTGAGCAGCTCTTATTTGTGAATCAAGACATGAGGTTCATTATGGAACAGGTAGAAATATCCAATAAGCACAAGATCCACCCTATTTCAACTGAGGTTTCATGGTTCATATGAAATTACATTAAAACCTAGAGCCATACCTCCAGCGGGAAAAGTGCCACTAGTCAACTACCACAGACAGGGAGGAGAAGGATGAGTATGCCACCATGACTCCTTCAATAATGTAGAACACCAGCGTTTAACATTTCAATCACAGGATTTTTAAGCTCACATTGATGTTAGAAGCCATCTCTTCCAAACCCCTGAGTTTACAACTAGGGAGACTGAGCTCCTTAGAGACAGGGCAGTTCATTAAGACCACTCATCCAGAAAGGAGATTCAGACCAGAATTCCAGGGCTTTCTACTCTTCATCCAGCTCTCTTCTCAGCACACCTCACAGCCAGACTTTGACTATTATATCTTAGCTTTTCTATTTGATAAAAATGACATTTTTTATTTTCATTTTTTAGAATGAAAAGGGATTTCCCCTTTTGGTACTAGGTTCATGAATTTCACTTACTTTTTGTGGGCGGACATTTTCTTCTCCATTGCCTTTGTTGATTCCTGATATACTCAAGCCAAAGTCAGCACTCTCCATGTGAGAATTATTGACAGCCTCCTGAAGAAAGAGGAAGACAGCAAGAAGTCAGCTGTGGAAAGCAAGTTCCAGATGCTGGTGGAAACTACCTATCCCTTCATCCAAAAATCACATGCTGGGTATCATTTCAGTACATGGGAACCCCATGTGTAACTCAGACACATCTGTGCAGTGCCAACAAGATGAATCCACTGCCTGCCTGTGCCATGGGGGAAGAAGTGTCACTGGAAGCCATGGGCTCCAAGCAGCTTTTCCAATGGAGGAAACCATTGTGCCTCAGCCCAAAACCACTCACTAGCTTGTCTTTTCTCCTGTGACCAGAAGTGTTTGATGCCAGGAGTGGCTGAGTTTGGAGATGGAGCAGAGTTAGTAGTCAACCAGCCCCCCGTGGGATTCTCCTGCCTGACCTTCGCCTCCCTTCCACCTGAGTCAGACTCCAATGGCCAGAAGTGAACAACTTCCTTGAGAGTGAGAGATTCCTTCTGACAACTGTTTCATGATGACTCCTTTCTATCCTTCTAGACATCTTTGACATCCATTCAACCCATTTCTTTTCACAATTTCAATTGATTCTCTTTCCTCTGAAAGCTGATATGCTTGTCCTGAGGAGGTCCTAGGTATGGATCCATTGATTTCACCCACCTGCTGGGCTCTCTCCTCTTGCTGCTCACCCTGTCCCCAAGATGGTCCAGTGTGGAGGTCTGGAGTAGCAACCAACTATGTGTGCTTTGGAGAAACCCAGCTGTTGCGGAGACTATCCCTGGCCTAATCCTAGGAGCCCAGGGATGTGCTTTGGGACAGGAAGACTTGCCACCTACAGTTACTTCAAATGGAATGAGTAGTAACCAGGCCCCCTGTTCTTACTGGCCCCCTGGCTCATCCTTCAAAGCCTATTACCCAGCACTCTGACCAGGGGAAAGGCTGCAGGGAGGAAGGAGACCTCCCACTCAAATTAAGAAACAGGAAAACTAGATATTTGCCTGTGGTTTTAATCTGGAAGAAAATCTACAATTTAACAAAATCATACAGCATTCTAAAAACATAGGTCCTCAAAAAATAAATAAATGTGACTTTTTTCTTGGGGCTATTTCTCAGCCACCTGCAACTTTACCAATGCCAAGAAAAGCTGTTGAGACCTGTTTAGGTTGCTCCTTTTGGTTGGATTTGGCATCCCCTGACTTCCCCACTGTGGTTCTGGACCGTGGCCGCTGCTGACTGATCCTTGGAAGATTTTGACAACTGTCGTTCATCACCCTAGGGGAGAGAACAAAGACCTTGGAGGAAATTATTCTAACCACTTAATTTGAGGCGATTAAACAACTTCTGTAGCACACATTAAAAAAAAAAAAAGAGTTCTAGAAATATAGGCAGATGTGCCACAATGAGGCCCCTGCATCTCCATTGTCTTCCCACCCTGTCCATCCTGGTTCTGACTTGCTCCAGTCTACCTGTTGGGTACCTCCAAGACCAGAGTAGAGGGTCCGCCTTCTCCTGGAGGCCCCTGACCCCCCCTCTTCATTTTCCCTCATACCACCTGGCTCCAGCCCTTCTGCACATAGCTCTGTATTCTCAAAAACACATGACTTTGCAAGCATTCTTCCAATATTTCTTCCACCTTCCTTAAAGAACAGTATGCAGACCAGAGGGCAGGTTGTGGGGAGGAAGGAGGAAGCCTAGAAATTTGCCTGTGGTTTTGATCCCATGTGCTGAGTATACTAAAAATATCTCTCATCATGCTGTGTACCATCAACATAGAAGGGACTTGTGGAAAGGAAGCAAACCTTACCTCATCTTTATTGTCACAGACCTTCATATTTGCAAAACAAATGTTCATCAAATTATTGTTTACTTAAAGCAAAACAGACTGGTGGGGCGGGAAGTCAAGTAGTGGCTACCTCTGGTGAAGATGGGGAGTATTGACTGGGAAGGGAGCCTGCTGGGGGTCATGGCACTTACCAGAGTATATATGTGTTTGACTGCATAGATGTTATATATATCAACACAAAGGTAAAATAAATTTGTTCACTAGGTCCTCACAATGAGACACCAAGTTCAGTACAGGAATATTGTTAGATAGAAGATGACATCAGAGAGAGGCAAGGCTGCATGGGGGGCACAACATGAACTCCCACATCAGAAGTTGTTTGGTTTCCTCGTTTCCTTTGTCCTTACGTGTGAGATGTGTTTGCAGGAGTTCAACTGGAAGCATTTCTCCCATGTTCTAAGAGGTCCCAGAGAGCAGCTATTTCTCCAGACCCACACCAATAATAACACCAGTGTCCATACAAGGTGACCCCAGTGTTGGCCCATTGGGGCAAGTTACCTGAGAGGTAGACTGCATTTGTTTTACATTTATAAATTAGAAATTAAAATGCTGGTCCCTCAGGCCTTGTACTGGCACAAAATGAAATATCTAGGAAATGAATATCAAACATTTTACAAGGGCAAATCCTTTTGAATAGCACTGATTTAAATGAAGTGAGGTCATATAGATATATACAGTTAAACTTGCCTAACATTGCGGGGCTGGCAGGGAGCTGGGAACCTGTTTTCCCACTATTGATGTCCCTTTAGAAGCAAGTGATGCACAGATTTGCTTGAACATAATCAAAGACAAGTGCTTTATGTGCAAAGTAATGAAATTCATTTCTAGTCAGCTCTAACGATTATAGAATTCTTCCTAATATGGAACCAAATTCGCCCTGCTGTAACTTTAGTTGCTACTCCTAGGTGTGCCCTGTGGAATTTTACAAAGAAGGCCTAGTCCCTCTTTAGAGAGTGAGGACTGGTACTGTGTAGTTCTAGGGGCACTTCCTCCCCAAGTCTTCCATTCTTCAGGCTAAAACATCTCCAGTTTCTCCAATCATTCCTAAGGTTACCTGGCTCCCGGATTTATCCTCATTCTGGCCACCTTTCCTTTGCCCACTGTCTTCTGACCAGAATAGAGTCACCTCCTATTTTGTGGATACTATGTTTCTATCAGTGAGGCCCAAGACCACATTAGCTCTCACATCACAGTGTTGACTCACACTGTATCTGCTGTTAACTCAAATTTCTGGGTCCCTGGCTTTGTAATGAGGGAGCTATTTGTCATTAATCTTTGTCTAGAGCTTACACTTTATTTCACTGAGGGCCCATCTTCCAAATTGTCAAGATTTTCTGGCATCCTAATTCTATTATCCATCACATTAAATAACCATTCCTCCATTGGATCACCTGCAAATCTGTAAACTGGGAGCTTGTTCTCTGGTGTTAGATGCTAAAAGTAGGAAAAGGTACTTTCATTTGTGAATAACCAGTCTCATGACACAACCTCTCATTTCAATAGCCATCTTCAATTACAAAATTATAAATAAACAGTGTTCTTGACTTTCCTAATGATCCTTCTTGACTCCAACTACTTGCCATCTGACCTCTATGCTTGCCACATACAAACGTCTGCTCAAAGAGAAGTTGAAGACACCCAAGCTGTCAAGCTCTATCCCTAAAGAGAAGCAAAGTGCTCAAAAGACGTTTGCTCATGGATTATTCTGCCAGGTGGGGAATTCTGGGGAAGTTCCAGGCATGAACATGTGGCTGAAAAATAATCAGAATCCAAATGCATGCCAAAGCTGGCCTCTTAAAATGCTCCTCATTGTTCCTGTTCAAAAGTAGTTATTGTTTATTGTCAGAGTCTCACTAGCTTTGTGGAAACTATAAATAAAAGGATAACACTTTGGTCAAAACAATAAGACTGTTCCTAAAGAACAGCACAAAGCAAAGGTGGCCTCAGGCAGAGCATTATTGAAAGGATTATCATGAAACATGCATGAGTGCTCCCTACATATGGGGACCTCACATTGTGTCAGAAACTTGCGGCAAGCTTGTCAGTAGCAGAGCCGGGAACTGAACCTGGATCTTTTCATTTCTGAGGTCTGTATTCTTCATAGCCCAGGGCCTCAGAAGAGCACCAGTGAATGCAGTTATTGGTGATAAAACCAGGAGAACCAACAGACATTGGCACAGGTCCTGGACATCTGTAATGTGAGGGGAACCCATGGCTGGGCCCACCAAGGTCAGATAATCATAGTCTGCAATTGCTTGGAAGACAGACATGAAGCTAAGCCGGAGAATCTTCTGGAAAGGGATCCCACAAACTCCTATTTTTGGATTGGTCACGATGAATTACCATTCACTTTACCTTCTGGTCTTCCCTCCACTTCTTTGTGGTAAATTATTTTCTGCTGTGGCAAAACAAATATTGGGAGGAAAAGGAAAGAATTTAATTTTTAAGAGAAAGTGATTTGTCAAGAATGTCTGTTCTTTCACATTGCTCTTAAAATTTGTGCTACCGCCTTGTGGGATCCAGGAGCTCTAAGCTATTCTCACGTAGAAAGAAGCGAAACTACCAGCAAAGAGAAAGAAGCCCATGTTTCCCAAGCATTTCCACCCAGAGAAAGACCCCAAAGCCCTCAGATATTAAACATATTGGAAGCCATGGACCTGGTGGCAGCTTCAGTGTGGGCCAGTTGACAGGTACCATTTCATTAAGTTTTCATGAACTTGACACCATTTTGCTATGGTCTGTGGGACACCAGGATGATTGCATGAATACTTATCAGTTGCACTTTGCCAGTTTACCTTAAAATAAACGCATTATGTCCCAGATCCCAGGAGATGATGGTTCCAAATTAGATCAGAACCAGCAATCTAGAAATTAGATCATGTCAGTAATAGTCCTGGTGGCTCAGTGGTTAGGGGTCAGTGCTTTCTCTGCCAAAACCCAGGTCCAACAGCCAGCCAAGGACATGGAGCTCTGAACCCTGCACTGGGAAGGAACTCAGATAAAATATCCCTTCCAGCTCTGAGATTCACCCCTAGCTATTTTTAATTGACATTCCTCTTGGTTTCCTGGTCCCCACATGAAATGTTAAAGTCTGTGGCTTAACAAGTGCCTTGTAAACAGGACAATGATCTCCCTTGGTTTATAATTACTTCCCCCACTTACAGACTTCTAAGTCAATGTTACTACAAAGCATAGGGCCCTCACTTTAGATCTTTCCTCCAGTCAGCCTCCTTGACTGCTAACCTATACTGGGTCTTTGCATTATATTGATCATTATCTGGATTGATGGCCTTCAAAAGCATTTCATTATCTATACATGAGCTATTAGCTTCACCAATACTCATTTTCATGTTATTTTCAAGATAGACAATAGGTCTTCCTAACAACAACAACAAAAAAGTCTTCTGTCATTTATCCTCTTCCAACAGCTCTTTCCATCTCTAAAGAAATGAAAGCAATGTTGGTATTCTAAAAAGTAACTGTGATATGCTGGGATTTTGCTTTCCTTGACCTAAAACATATATTTCTCAAACAAATGCCTACCTGGCTATAGGGACATCACTGCCCAGATGATCACATTTACATTGTCTGTACAGGATCTAATAGAGGCTATACAGTCTTTCTGGGCTAATCTTTCAGTACAGGATGGTGGTAGCATCTATCTGGGCATACAATGAGGAAGAAACACTAATCTTAAAGATGAGATAAAACCTTATTTCTAGAAAATAGCCATGTACCTGTGTCTGATGCTTTTTTGACAATTTTGGGGTATTTCTGAAATTTCACAAAATAGTAGCTCTCATATTCCATCAAAATAGTTTCAAGGTCAATGTTGTCACAAACTTCAAATCGTCGTAACCCCAGTTTAGTTTCTTGCTCCAAAGCATTGGCTGCATTGATATATCTGGCCATTTCACAGAAGAAAACAAACAAAAAAAATAGCTCTGGGTAAAATGGATAAAGGCAAACTGGCATGACAAGTCCAAAGATATTCAATGCAAATAGCAAGTTCATATTAAGTAATACATTAGATGAAAATTAGAATATATGAAAAAAAGAAAGAAAAATTAGAATATATGAGGTTTGTCTGTAGAGTAAGGAGGCTCACAGTCAGTATCTCCATGTAGTTTTCAAGGCAGTTGAAAGAAGCTACAGACTTACTCTAATGATGTCATCATTGTTCAAAACATTTTTGGGGGGGATCCCTGGGTGGCGCAGCGGTTTAGCGCCTGCCTTTGGCCCAGGGCGCGATCCTGGAGACCCGGGATCGAATCCCATGTCGGGCTCCCGGTGCATGGAGCCTACTTCTCCCTCTGCCTATGTCTCTGCCTCTCTCTCTCTGTGCGACTATCATAAATAAAATTTAAAAAAAAACATTTTTGGACACACTCAAAAGTCAAATAAGTAAAATCGACTAATTGAAGATGTTTTGTGCTTTACCTTTACTTATTTTCAGCCAAAAGTGGGTATTTGCCCAACTCAATTACCACCAAAAGAGTAGGTCATGAGTTCTGAAGGAAATTCCAAAAACATGTTGGCCAATATCATTGAGGAAATTTAGTATCAGAAGACATCATGTGCTTGGATGTATTACTTCTGGTAATTTTTTCTGCAGTCACACATTATGCTACCAGCTGACTGTGGATGTAAGTACTGTCTTCACCAGGGGTTCTCCGCTGTCATTTGTAACTTGTTCAGTTGTCAGGCTGTCCGACTTAAGAGGTCTTAGAAACAAAAACAAATGCTTTGTCTCACAATCCTCCGAAAGTGGAAAGATTTTCCAGGTCTTACTTGTAGCTCCTGACTTCTTATTAAAACCAATGACTGGGCAGCCCAGGTGTCTCAGCGGTTTAGTGCTGCCTTCAGCCCAGGGTGTGATCCTGGAGACGGGATCAAGTCCCATGTCAGGCTTCCTGCATGACCCCTGCTTCTCCCTCTGCCCATGTCTCTGCCTCTGTGTGCGTGTGTGTGAGTGTGTGTGTGTGTCTCATGAATAAATAAATAAAATATTTTTAAAAAATGACTCTCTCCTGAAAAATGTGCAAATGTGCACAAATTAGCATACGATTTCATCTGAGGACATCAGATTAAGTATTCCTGCTACAGGATAGAGTTCCTTCTGTTTGATTCCAATCTGGGAAGGTAGGAGAAAACTATTTTTATTTTTATTTATTTATTTTTTTCTATGGGTCACTGAGGCCTTTTTATTCTGCACATAAAACCACTGGGGATCTTGCCTGTGGACACCTTGAGATTATTACATAAACAGACCTGGCTCCAGATGCTTGGTGGAAGTGAGGTGAGAAAGCAATGATTTGGACCAATCACATGTTTACAGAGCTAGCGTTCCCAGCAGGGTTCCAGATGGTCAAGTCTGGCTTCTGTAGCAATTCTAAGGAAGCTTTGAGAACATCACGGGGAAGGGAGAGGGCAGCTAACTAGCACAGGGCCCTGCCACTTTGGGCTGGGGGCCTTGAGCTGCCCGGGGGAGCAGAGGTCTAACAAGCCGACTCAGGACCACAGGGTGTGCCATCTGGACCTTACTTGGCAAGGGGGTTTCTGAAGCTTCTGCTGGCGAACTTGGCCTTGCTACCCAGTTCCTCTTCAATTCTGAGGATCTGGTTGTACTTGGCCAAGCGCTCAGATCTGCATGGTGCACCCGTCTTGATCTGCCCAGTGCAGAGTCCCACCACCAGGTCAGCGATGAAGGTATCTTCGGTCTCCCCGGAGCGATGCGACACCATGACGCCCCACCCATTGGACTGGGCCAGCTTGCACGCCTGAAGAGACTCGGTCACAGAGCCAATCTGGTTCACTTTAAGCAGGAGGCAGTTGCACGATTTCTCGCCCACAGCCTTGGAAATCCACTTTGGGTTGGTCACGGTGAGATCGTCCCCCACCACCTGGATTCCAGCGCTGGCAGTGAACTTCTGCCAAGCTTCCCAGTCATTCTGGTCGAAGGGGTCTTTGATAGACACCACTGGGTAGTCCCTGATGAAGGACTTGTAGAGGTCAGCCAGCTGGTCAGGCATGATGTACCTGCTGGGGTCATCAGGGGACTTGAAGTCCAGGTCATACTTCCCAGACCTGAAGAACTCAGAAGCAGCTACGTCCATGCTGATAACCACCTTATCGGTGTAGCCAGCCTTCCCGATGGCATTCTTCAGCAGTTCCAGAGCTTCTTTGTTCTCCAGGATATTAGGAGCAAATCCACCTTCATCGCCCACATTGGTGGCATCTTTTCCATATTTCTCCTTGATGACATTCTTCAGGTTATGATAAACCTCTGCTCCGATGTGCATGGCCTCCTTGAAGTTCGCTGCACCGATGGGAAGGATCATGAACTCCTGCATGGCCAGCTTGTTGCCAGCATGGGAACCACCGTTGATGACATTGAAAGCCGGAACTGGCAGGATAACTTCAGAATTGCCAGCCAAATCAGCAATGTGGCGGTACAGGGGGCACCCCCTTCTCGACAGCCCCCGCCTTGCAGACAGCCAGGGACACTCCCAGAATGGCGTTTGCACCAAATTTAGATTTATTCTCTGTCCCGTCCATCTCGATCATCAGTTTGTCAATCTTTTCCTGCTCCACAACGTTCACTTTCTTGCTAATCAGGGCAGGTGCAATAGTTTTATTGATGTGCTCCACAGCCTTTGAGACACCTTTCCCCATGTAGCGTGTCTTGTCATTGTCCCGGAGCTCGAGGGCCTCGTAGATACCAGTGGAGGCACCACTGGGCACAGCAGCTCTGAAGAGACCTTTGGAGGTGTAGAGGTCAACCTCAACAGTGGGGTTCCCGCGAGAGTCAAAGATCTCCCTGGCGTGGATCTTGAGAATAGACATGGTGACTTTCTGGCCGCCGATAGAGCTGCCCGGGGGGAAAAAAGCAGAGGATGCCGCAGGCACCAAGGACGAGCGTTAAGCTGCGCGGTCCGGATGCTCCGAGGACCCGAAGCTCGTCTCAGCGCCGCCTGCCGCGACTTCCTGCCCAGCTCCCCGATTGAAAACTATTTTTATTATGCTCCCTTCCCTTCTCCAGATTCAGGTCAGTTAGAAGCTTGAACTTTCTTAAACGAGGTTGCCAGGATTATTTCCAGTGACCTTGCTACATTTAAAGAGATGACAGTCAGCCTCTTTACTTACTGATGGCTCACCAAGCTTCCTTTTTTTTTTTCACCAAGCTTCTATACTATTTCTTAATCCTCATTTTAGAGACAGAAAAACTAAATCTGTTCTTTTATTAATAATTTTTGTTTAGTATAAAGTAACACATGCTTTGAGAAAAAAAACTAGAAAATATATAAATGCAAAAGAAAATTCCACTGTCTTTCCCTATCTTTCCATACATTTTTAATGACTAAATACATATATACTTACATATATGCACTTGTAAGCACATATATCTATACCTACACACACACACACATACACACGTATATATATAAACAAAAATGGGAACACACACTATAGATTGTTTGTAGTCTTTACTCACATAATATTATATTGAACCTTTTTCCAGGACCATGGTTTTGACTTAAACAAAAATTATAATAGATGTTGACAGGCCCCATATTTCCTAAACTAATTGATTGGGGGAATAAAACTGCTTCTGTGTGTTCCTACTACAGTGTTTGAGCTTGAATGCAATCTGAATTTAACAAGGTTGGCAGGAGGAGCCACTAGATGTTCTCAAGGAACAGAGTGACAGGACAGGACATCAGGAAGAGGAGTGAGCAGTAATGAGCAAGACACAGTAGGAGAGATGGAAAGGCTGTTAATGGCACTCAGGCCCAAAGAGCTGAATGTATAGTCTTAGAGGAACCAGCATCAGTGATCCTCCAGTGTGTGATCACCAGTCCTCCCACAAGCATTCGAACTGTGGTCTTTCCATTTACCTAATTGTTCCACTTAGGCCATGCCCCTTCTGTCATCTGTATTCTATACATCTTTCAAGACCAGCTCACTTCACCTTCTCTACAAAGCTTTTTCTGATGGTTTATTCCAATCCACTATAATCTATCCTCTTTGTGAGGACAGATTCTTAGTATTTTGTTAAATGTGGGTCTACCTTTCTGACAGTTTACTTTTCATCTTGACTATCCACTCATAAGTACCTTAGCCAACGGGTCTTACTCAGGAAAATGATCAACTCTAGTAGAATTTTAATTAATTCGAGATGCAAGGGGCCATCTCGTGGTATAAAAGGGAAATGCATGCTTTGTAAATAGGCAGTAAGCACTTGAGGAGAACGGATAAACTATGCTGACTTTTCCCTGTTTGTCTTTTTGTTTTCACAGTTCTCCTTTCTAATACAGTTTCTTGGCACAGTTGCCATTTGGGGCTGGATAGCTCTCTTGTGGTTTGCTGTCCGGTGAGTTAAAGGATGTTTAGCAGCATCCCTGCCCTCTCCCCGCTAGGTGCCACTGTGACAGTGAAAATTCCCCCGACATTGCCAAATGTCCCCCAAGAGGCAAAATCACCCTAGTTGAGAACCGTGGCTCTAACTTGAAAGTTCAAGCCCTAAGCCTGGAACCTGAATATTTTCTTCCTGGCTGAAACTTGGAAAGAAAGGAAACTCAAAATAGTGGATGAGCTCTGTTCCTCATAAAACCCAGAACACTTGCAGCCTTCATTGTAAGGGCTTGCACGTTTCTGCATCAGGTAGGTAGCCAAACTCAGATACTTCCAAATTTCCTCCCCTGCTCCCCTGCCAGTTATCGAATGGCACTGCCAGGAAAAGAGAGCCAAGCACAGGTCATCAGGTAAATTTGATAACTTTATTTTGAGGGGAGGAGAATTGAGGGATAAGAATGTTATCTCTGTGTACATACACAGCCGTAGGACCCGGGAACCTCATTTGATAGGCCTGAATCCTGAATGGGGAAGGGAAGGTATCCCAGGAACCCAGTAGCTTTGATGAAGTTTTCAAATGTGTAATGGGAATAATATCTATGTAAATGAGGCAATGAAAGGATGTCTCTGGGTGGCTGAAGGTGGGGGCAGGGATAGGCAGAGCACAAGGCATTCCTAGGGCAAAGCTATTGGATATGATACTACAATGCTGAATACATGACATTATGCATCTATCAAAGCTCATGGAACTCTACAGCACAAGAGTAAACCATGATGTAAAGTATGGATGTCAGCTAACAGTAATGTACCAAGATTGGCTCACCAGTTGTGACAAATGCACCAACCCAATGTAAGACAATAATAGGGGAGACTGGCTGCAGTGAGGGGATTCCCAGTATATGGGAACTCTCTACTTTCTTTTCAGTTTTTCCATGAATAGAAAACTGCTCTAAAAAAATAAATTCTATTAACTATTTTATAAGTGTGTATCTGGAAAAGTGGAGGTCAGAGAAAGAAAGGAATCATCTCTGTAAATATTTATAATGCAACATACCCTTCTTGTGTTAAGTAATGCAAAATCAAAATAAGAAGATTTTTTCGTCGTGCTTCTGTCCTCATCTGGCACTGTGAACAAAAAAGGAAAATTTTAGATGGGATGACGATGAGATACAACACTCTTTTTGTAGCAATAAACCCTTGAAGGTAAATGAAACCCGTCAAAACCAAGAAGCGTGACTTAAAGGCTGGAAGGCAGTCTGAAGTCTCCAAGGATATATAAAGTTATTTTCCACTGTCGCCTTCTTAGAGCTGCCTTCTCAATTGTAAACTGAAGGTACGGTGATTGAAATTAGAATTGCGCTTTACTAGTCAACTTCTTACTGCCAAACTAATTGGCATTTTATTGCTCATAACTGCAAAGAAGCAAATATATACACTCTTATTTGGGCCAGGTTAAGGAAAGTGATGGTAAATGGAAACTCGTGAGCTAGAAATCAGCTCTGACATCACATCTTAACCTGCTGTAACATCCTCACTTCACTCAGAGCCCCACTCACTCCCAGCACAAACGTGGCAATGAGTTCCAATAAGCCATTCGGCAGGGGACTATATAGACAAACATTTAGGATATCCACTAAGAGTAGCAGAGGCAGGAAAGGGAAATTATTTTTTTGTTGTTGTTTAAAGATTTTATTTATTTATTCATTCATGAAAGACACACAGAGAGAGAGGCAGAGACACAGGCAGAGGGAGAAGCCTCCCGGGCTGCCCAGAAAGGGAAATTCCTGTGTAATAATGTCCTTCTTCAAACTGGATGCATCTGTACATTTATTCAGTGTTCACGTGCTATAGTTATCAGATATCTCAAATTCCCCTGAAATGTACTCATAAAATACCTACTTTCACTAATACCTCCCTTATCTGAGAGTGGCTTAGCTAACATCTTTATCTAAAGAGAATACAGGTAAGAACTGGATAAAAGCAAAAAAGGTCCCTGAGTGGCCCAAATGTATCATAAAATCTATGCACGAATACTTCGTGCTCACGACACATACGAAAACTTTTCAGACATTCATCCAAAGCTTTTTAAAAATTGATGTAATGAGGGCAGCCCTGGTGGCTCAGCGGTTTAGCACCTGCCTTCAGCGCAGAGCGTGATCCTGGAGGCCGAGGATGGAGTCCCATGTCAGGCTCCCTGCATGGAGCCTGCTTCTCCCTCTGCCTGTGTCTCTGCCTCTCTCTCTCTCTCTCTCTCTCTCTCTCTCTCATAAATGGATAAATAAAATCTTTAAAAAAAATTGATGTAATGAAATGAAAAGAGGCATTCAGTTATTTAAAAATCAAACACTACTATAAGTTATTGTTCTTCTTACATTGCTTTTTTATTGTGCTGAAACACACGTAACATAAAATGTACCATTTCCCCCATTTGTACATAGAGTTTGGGGGCATTAAGCACATTTCTACTGTTGTGCAACCATCACCACCACCCATCTTCAGAGCTTTTTCATTTCTCCCAATTGAAACTTTGTATTCATTAAATTATAATGCCTTCACCCTTTTACTTTCTATCTCTATGACTTTGCCTCCACTAGGTACCCCATGGAAGGAGACTCATAGTAGTATTTGTCCTTTGGTGTCTAGTTTATTTCACTGAGCATGTCATCAGGGTTCATTGTGTTGCAATATGTGTCCAAATTTGCTTCCTTTTATGGTTGAATAATAGCACTATACATTTTTAAAGAAAAAACAATAGTCTTCTGCCCCACTTGGCTACCCCATCCCCCTACTCACTCCCTAGAGGCAATAACCTTCACTATATTTGTTGTTTCTTCTGATAGTCACCTACATATTTCTAAATATACCAGTGCTCCATGATATGTGAACACTAGGTATTAACTAGTCACGTCCTGTTAAGGTAGAGGAGAACAAAGCTGTCATCCATCGTCCCACCTTCCCCTCCCCTTACACTTATATCAATATTCAGCAATTATATTATTGCAACCATGTAAACAATGTTCACTGCTGAGTCAGAAAGTTGTTTTCCATTTCCGTAAATTTTCTTTGGAATGAATAATTGCCTCATATATATATTTTTTTAGCTTGGTTACTTTTGTGCATACTTATTGCTAATTTTCAAGCAGCAGCACACCTCTCGAGTCCCCTCATAGGGATTCCTGGGTGGCTCAGCGGTTAAGCATCAGCCTTCAGCCCAGGGCGTGATCCTGGAGACCTGGGATCGAGTCCCACATCAGGCTCCCTGCATGGGGCCTGCTTCTCCCTCTGCCTATGTCTCTGCCTCTTTCTCTCTCTCTTTCATGAATAAATAAATAAAATCTTTAAAAATATATAAAATAAAGGCCCCTCATATCATATTCCTCACCATTAAATAGATAGGTACTGAGTCACTGACACCCCCTGTCCCCCCATTCCCATTCCCCCGAGGCTTCCTTCCCTTTAACGCAATAGAGTTGTCTCAGAATATGTGACAGGGAAGAAGGCTTAGGATTGCTCTGTGGAACTCATGTTGCCTTACCATGTGTGTATAGGCATTGGATCCCAATCTACAATGTCTCACAGTTGGTCACAGTAACAGTAGCTTTGAAGCCACTACACAAAATGACATTCAACACTGGCAATGTTCGCTCATATTTCTGAAGATGTTGACACAAGAACTTTTAATAAAGACTGAAACCTTTCCAATTTACCATAGTTAGTAACTTTGACTTTAGTAGTCAAAACCTACCCTCCACCCTCCTTCTATAATTTGATTTGCCTTGCCTGTAGTGCCATCTAGTGTATTAGGAGGGGAAGCACCTTATGAAATCCAGATTAGTTCCAAATTATTATTTGTTGGCACGTGATGATAATCATCAAAAAATTCAGTCCAGATCAAGTTCCCAAAATAAAAATATAACCACTTGTTAAATATGCAGTAATAAAATTGATAGGTTATGTTTCTAACTATACAAATTCTCAAGTTCACAATTGGGGTTTTGACTCAAAATTTTAAGAGTCTAGAAGGTACTGGGAGATCTTGAGTCTCAGGAACCTGAGATCCAGATAAACTAAGGGATTTGCTCAAAAGCCTGAAGAGTTGAGACCAGAAGCACCTCCCCCCAAGTCATATCCCTGCATTCACCCCCTCCTCATCAATCTCCACTCCCACCCCTGCACATTAGCCACAGACCGGAGAGAAGCTACTATTTTAACTTGCCAAAAACCACGTGCCAAATTTGCTAGAATCAAACAATGGTGGTTACCAGATAGTCTTTCTTAGCTGACGTTACACAGTAACACGTGAATGCTGTCTCTTACAACCCCTCAAATCTAAAATCCCACCATTTTAGTGGCCATTTCAAAGCAATTACTGTCTGGCCTTCTTTCAAAAAGTTAGTCGGTCTGCTGCACCAGGAGTGGTGTGCTTCATCAGAGATCATGCTTTTTAAATTTCTCAATGGTTACAGTCTGGCTGTAAATGAAGCTGATCCATTTCATTTGTACATAGAGATCTTCCAGAACAAAAAGGTTTGAATTAAAAAGCCACAAAAGCCACGTCTGTTCTCAGAAGGACTTCACTGGACACTGACTAGTGCTGTTTCCAACTGGACAGTGTTTTGCAAACTGTGGGGTGCTGTGCCCATAGCAGGGTCAGTGATCAGCGAGTGCTCAACAACTGTTAGTTGCTTTGTTCATGCATTTCAGAGTCTCTCCATCCTTCACTCTGGAAGCAGGTGCTTCTTCTTACTCTAAACATGCTCAGGTGTACATGTGCTGAGAAGAATTAGGTAGGGAGCATTTTACTTTGGTCCTGAGGACTGTATACCCTGCACTGGGTTTGGCTGATAGCTCTGAATTTCCTGAAGATGAGTCTGGGAAGAGCCAGAAAACTTACTAGGGGCACGGAAAAAGATCTTGGGAGAGATGGTTTTAAAAGGGGATGGGAGAGGGGCACCTGGCTGGTTCAGTGGGTGGAGCGTGCGACTCTTGATCTCAGGGTTGTGAGTTCAAGCCTCACACTGGGTATAGAGTTCAGAGAAAAGAAAAAGAATGAAAGGGGATGGGAGGGCAGGGGAGGATGGAAGACTGGCAACAGGTAACAGTTAAGGGGTACAGAGTTTCTTTTGGGGGGTAGTGAAAATGTTCTGAGGTTCTGAAAAAGTGGTGAGGGTTGTGTATCTCTGTAAAAAGACTTGGGGTGAGTTGCATGGTATGTGAATTATATCTCGAATCAGGCTGTTTTAAAATGCCAAAAACAAATGCGGAGAGGTAGAGAAAAGAAGGCTAAAATGAATGTAAATAATTTGAGTCACTTTTGTACCTTGATACATGAAACAAATGATCTGACTGAAAGTAGAACTCATTTCATGCAACATTTTGGAGTGACTCAAAATGGAAAGGGTGGGAAGGAAGAGCTGTGGATCACCCACAGCACTGTGAGAGCCGGCCCACCACCCTGATGCAGAGCCTGGTCCCACAGTGGGCCAGCTGGTCTGCCGGAAGCACGCCTTTAAGTGCTCTGACGACTTAGCCAGAACAAGCGAGCTCAGTCGGCTACATGAGCAAGGCGACATGTGCCAGACAGAGGAGGAGATGCAAAACCCCTAGAGGGCTTTCATTTCCCTTTACTGTATACCTTTTCTTTCTGGTTTTGTCATCATTGGCCATGCACATAAAAGTTGAAGAGACCACCTTGAGTATTATTAATAATTCTTCAGTTCAATGGACAAAAATAAGCTGTTTTCAGTAAGAATCCCAAATTTCTTTAAATGCAGAAATTTTGAAAGTGTTATCCAGATAATAGCCAGGCCTGGCAAGTTGTGAAAGAATAGGCACTCAGATATAACTGGTGGAAATGTAAACTAGTACAACCCTTTTATAGGGCAAACTGGCAAAATCTATCAACATGAAAAATGCATGTACTTGTGTGACCCAGCAATTCCACTCTCAGCAATTTACACTATAGAAGATCAATTATACTATGTTATAGAAATAGTCCATGTATGCACAATGATTAATGTTCAAGGATGTTTAATACAGCATTATTTGTATTTAAAAAAAAGTAGAAATAGGCTATAAATGTCCATTAGTGGTTAAATAAGTCACAGCACAAGCTCACTGTGGAA